AGTAATAATATTAAAAGTTTTATTTTTCTATTTTGTCATGCGTAGAACTTATGTACTGAGAGTCGATTGTGATCCTATTGCCCTCGTTAACATGATTGTTTTGATACGCGTTTACCTAACAAAAGCACGTGGCTGAAGGTGCTCATGATGCAACACGTAACGATTATAAGTTGTTTTTACTTGATGATTTTGTTTCTTTTCTAAACGCAATATATATAGTTAGATTCTACTTAGATAATTATTTAGATTTTCATAAAAGAGTGCAAAACTTGATATCTTTATAGGGAGTCATAGGCAATACTAGTACCAGACGATTGCTGTCTTTAGAATCTGCTAACTATATTTCACAAGTAAAGTATCATATTAAATGGAAATAAATTGGGTGAGAAAAATAATCTATGTCGTGTTTTGCACCTAGACAAGAAAATCCCAGTCGCAGGGTTACATTTGTTGCCTCCCTCTTAGGCAGAGCCTCGAAGGCAGACAAATAATGTAACCCCATGACTGGGATTTCCTTGTCTCAGTCCTAACCCCAACAGAGACTCTATTAATTTTTTTATCAGTTTTTGTTGCAATTGGAATAAGTCATCATCACTATGAATATAAATATAAACGCAAATTCCTGTTGGTATGTATTGTTGGCGCGTGTTTGTTTATTTCGATGGCTTATTGTTGGGGTTGTTGATGGGGGATTCTTTCGTAGTTTATTTTTTTACTTTTTGCTTTTTTTCTTCTTTTTTTTCTTGTTGAGTATGTACGTTTTTTTATCCATGATATATTGAATCTTTAATGAAGAGCGCTTATTGGCTCGATTGTTCTTTCAAATCACAAAAAAAAAATTCAAGAACTCCTTACTTATTAATGGTCGGTTTTTATTTTATGATAGAATCGTCTATTGTTTTTTTTTTGTTCAGAGTCTTGTACCTATTAATCAAGACTTGTTTTAGCTTTAGAATTATTTTTTTCTCTTTTAGATGGGACACATAACAAAGGAGACTGTAGTTTCCTTCTTTCAGATTGTATCAAGCAAATTCTGTGTCATTTCCACAACATTTTATTTCATGGCTTTAAATTAAAGTAAAATCTACTCTGTTATGAGTATCATTCAATAGTCTTTCCGCCACTTACATGTAGTTTTTGTATCTTTGTATTATCTTGTTTTCTTACCTCATTCCGCGAAATGCCATATTTCCTTCCAATTAATGACAGTATGATTTCATTATTTTAACAAACTTTATATCGCGCGTTGTGAGTTTTTCGAGGTTCCGTTTCATCAATAGACGTAATTGCATTACGTGCTTAACAGAAAATTAATTAAATCATATAGTGTAGATTACTTATATGTAACTAGTACTTTAATTTATAAGACTATTAATCATGGTTTAATGGACTGTGACTGTACGCCCCGAGGGCTGCTGCGCGATGACCTTTTTGAGAGACACATTATTTTCCTGGCTTCATTCTGTTAAAAGACTCGACACATCCATCCCTTTGTATAAACGCATACGCTTTGCTAATTTTCTAAACCTTGAAGATATCTTGCTTATTGTATAGAAAATATTCCTCATAAAATATCAGTCGCCTAATCTTGGTATTACAAGTTATGAAAATTACTTCTACGAAGATAAAAAAATCTTTTCCATAAAATTAAGAAACTAGCCAGTAGCAAACATAGACCTATATTTTGGAATCCTGACTTTGTCCAACATTGTATATTTAGCCGTTCCATAAGATTATACGATTATATAGGATTATAAGATTATACGATTAAATAATAATCCACACCATAGGTCTATTATCTTCCTTGATTGCTTCAAGTGGTGAAAGGTCAATAGATCTATGGCGTGATTTACTTATGCATCACTACAGTCACGTAACATATTTACACATTTTATGGCTTTATTTTCAGTAAATATTTTCGATTTATAACCTTAAGAGTCTCGATTTATAGATTAAAGAGGCCCAATTTATAGACTAAAGTGTCCCGATTTATAACCTAGAGTTCCAATTTATAGCCTTAAGAGTCCAGATTTATAACCTAGAGTCACGATTTATAGCCTTAAGAGTCCCAATTTAACCTAGGGTCTCGATTTATGGCCTTAAGAGTCCCTATTTATAGCTTTAAGAGTCCAAATTCAGTCTAAAGAATCTGATGAAATTCTTCCCCTACAGACGCTATTTTTGTGTGAGCGAGTGGAAAAATACCGAGTTTCGTTTCTTTAGTAATTTCCTTATCTTTGTGCAATATATTGATTTCCTTTCCTGTATTTTTTCTGATTTTCACTCTTCAGATGTTTTCCTAAGGGCAAATTTTGAGAAGACTTATCGCTATATATGCAATAAACTGACAAAGAGCAGTACAAAACTAGAATCTAACTAACCTGAGCGCTTTTAACTCTAAATATATAATTATTATTATTTATAGCATTATGCCTTAACATATTGTTAATATGTTATTTTAAAATGTGAAGACGTCATCAGTTTCTCTCGAACATGTTGTGCTTCAAGAATGGATCAGTAAATGCGAAATCAGTTGTACAAGTTCACAAATTTATCGGCCTTTGTAATTGTTTATTTCAAATATATATATATATATATATATATATATATATATATATATATATATATATATATATATATATATATATATATATATATATATATATATATATATATATATATATATCGTAAATGTTCACATGTGTACAAAAATATTAAACTGAACTCACTATAGGCAAAGTGTACCGATTGTGTGATAAATATGACAAATACAGCACTTATTATTGCCTAATTGGAATGCTAATCCGACAAGATTTAAAACCCAGGAGAGATCATTTCCATCTGAAGTTTACTGAAGTATAAAATCTTTCGTTTCATGTCGCTGCGGAAACAAACTATCAAGTTCTTGTGATAATTATATCTTTTGGAGCAAGGTTTCAGAGAATGAAGAAATGGACTATTAGACAAAAAAAATACTTATAGTTGATATATAATTAACCTGGGCATTCGTATCCTTATATAGACACTTGAACAGATTTTCGCAATAGAATATTATTTTATCGATTTTTCAAAACTCTGCTGCCATTGGTTAGAATACAATAGAGCCTGCCTGCCTACATTTTCTTCCATTGTAAGGATTGATCTCAACACGAGCTATATAATCTTTGGTAACTTTTTCTAAAGGCATTTTCTCAAGTTGTGCTAAAGTCACATGTAATATCATCATGGTTACACAATTCTGAGATATGAGAAGGCTTAAGGTTTGTAAATATAATCCAAACATTAATCCTAGAATTTAAAAATATATGTCCTATGACAAAAATCTAATTGAATTCAAGGTTCAAATCCCGATTAAATTCCAAGATGAAAGGCGATGACGTCTTCTATCTTCTGTTCAGTGCTGTTGTGTCAACAGTTCTTTGTTGAATTTTATGAGCCAAGAATTTTATTCCGGTTTTCGAATTCCAAATAATTTCCAATAAATTTCTTTGTCCAAGAATGTGATGAAGAGCACTTATATTTCCAGGAAAAATCAATTATTTTAAATAATATTTTCAACTCTACTGGTCACAACACAAAATACTCTTGAGTTCCAAAAGGTATTATAAACGACCGACTAAAGACACATAGAAAGACAGTTTTATCACCCAAGTTTAGATCGCATGACGGGATCACTAAATACGAAGAACGCAGTAAAGTAATATGTCAATTAGCAAGTAGTCTATTTACAGGTTTGATTGTACTGAACGAAATTCAATAATAAAAAAAATTAGAAAAAAAGTTGATTACAACAGAGCTGACGCAAGCTAAGAATAACCTTGATTACGACCAATGATTTTCACTCTGTGTTACGAATTCTCAGTCAGAAACTAGGTCAGCTAAAAATACAATGTATCAACACTGCTCTTTACTAGAAATGAAATGAATTTTCGGAAAAATGTCAACACCAGTGAATAAAGTTATCATTATAACAACTTGCAATGAAATGAAAATAAATTTAAAAAATTAAAACACAATTAAATTACATATACGTAACAACTTTCATCATTTCTAATTTGGAAAAGTTCTATGGTAGCAAATGAAACAGTACTGGATACACAGCTCCAAGTGCATAATGGCTGTAGTGCGATTTATATAAGTTGGAGAGTTATAGATCTGTGTTACTATCTTATATATCTCACCTTTTCTTTAAACGAGCTTAAAATGTATGTGGAATACTGGTATTGTAATTGATGTTGCTTGTAAAATTACCATGTTTTGTGTGATTTGAATTTTTATTGCAGCTTTACCAATTTTTCAGCCATATCACTACGATGTCTGCAGTGCTAGTTTTATGTGATGCCTAGCACTGCGGCATCATGCCGCACATATGTAGCATGATGTCCCACCCAGTCACATTATCCTGACACCAGGTTGACCAGTCGTAATACCAACCTCTTAATGCTGAGTGCCAAATGAGGCAGGACTAGTGCCAATTTTTATAAGTCGTTGGTATGACTCAGCTAGAGTTCGAATCCACGACCTCCCGCATCTAAGGCGGACTTTCTAACCAATAGGCCGCTGGACCATGTATTAAATACCCCTCAAGCAAAATACCCAACTGACAGCTAAATGAGATTTCTAATTCATGATTTTGTTTTTGTAAAATTATATTTTATGTCCTGGAAATATGGCAAGTGTTGCTGTTTCTGTACTAGTGCAATAAGCTACAGAGAAATCTCTTGGAATAGTGTCTGAACTGATGAATGAACCACTGATTGGCAAGTGCAGGAGTTTCCATTTGAAACTTATTTACTGTGTTTGCTTCAACTGGGGCAGGGCATATTGGGGGTATATCAAAGTTTTAAGAAAGCAGGTTAAACACATGCCGCAGACATGTAGCATGATGCCCCACCCAGTCACATTATCCTGACACCAGGCCGACCAGTCCTAACACTAACCTCTTAATGCTGAGCGCCAAGCGATGCAGCTGTTAATACCATTTTTGTAAGTCTTTGGTATGACTCGACACGGGATCGAACTCACGATCTCCCGCATCCGAGGCGGACGCTCTAACCACTAGGCCACCAAAGCAAGTAGAGCTAGCACTTTTTTGAAAGGTGCACATCTGGATTGATGCCAAGCTGTATACTCTCTAACCCATATTACACCCGTCAATCATACACCATAATAAAAAAAATTAAAGGTTCTTTGAACAATACCTAAGATATACAAAGTCTTTTTTTAATAGCCAGTATAACTAGTGAGGCAATCCGGGAAAATTCTTTTTCTGTAAAATTCTAACCCTATGCTAAATATGAAACTCAAGCGCCACCAAAACTGTACACATAAAACACCAATCTGGAAAGAAATGGCTAGCATACAGTCTTGATAACGTCGTCCTCTGTCTCATTAAACTTGATATATTCTAAATTACATCCTCAATAAACTAGACATATTGTAAATTGCGTCCTCATAAACTAGACATTTTCTAAATTATATCCTTCCCTGTCCTTGTCTGCCTCTCATTAAACTAGACATATTCTAGAATAATCCTCCCATTCCTATCTGCATCTCATTAAACCAGACATATTCTAAATTACATCCTCAATAAACTAGACATATTCTAAAGTACATCTTCAATAAACTAGACATATTCTAAATTATTTCTTTCCCTGTCCTTGTCTATCTCTCATTAAACTAAACATTCAAAATTATCTTCTCCCGTCCTTGTCAGTCTCTCATTAAACTAAACATTCTACATTATTTCCTCCCCTGTCCTTGTCTGTCTCTTATTTAAACTAGACATATTCTAAATTACTAAATTAGACTTTGAGTCTATGTCTTTCTTAAAATGTTTTGTATCTCTTCAAAGTTGCAAAGACCTTAAAATGCTTTGAATGGAGTTCCTTTTGTTATGTCTGTTATTGTTTTGTTACTTTGATTCTAAAACAACTCCATCTGGCAAAGCAGAAGACAACAAGAGGTTTCTTCCACTGAAATGTATCTCTTAGCACGAGGACACTTTGACTGATATCTCACCATACCAATACAGGGGAGATAATAATGTCATATAGTTTTATCTCTTGCATAGGTGGCGCTCACCAGTTATTATGTACTTTTGAGAGTGATGTATGTAAGGTGAAGGTGTTTGCATTTTAAACATGCACAGTGGAGAGAATGTTGGCATACCTATATACTACTTTCATGTAATGTGGATGAAATTTCTTTGGATATTGTACTTTTGGAAATTTAAAATGAGCTTAGGACACCGCGAACTAAAATGACTGCCCCCTTGTGCTCCAAAAATCAACCAAAATTTGTCTAAAGTACACTATTCTTGGCAGCTATTAAAATATGGAAAATGAATTTTGGCAAACTAGATAATACCAGCTTCTAAAAGTGCAATAACTGAATTACCAAATACATAAAAGGTAAAAAAAAAGTTATCGGCTCTTTTTTTTACAATTTATCTCTGAAGTTCGAGAAGTGAAAATGAGCAAGTAGAGCTAGCACTTTTTTGAAAGGTGCACATCTGCAGTAAGGTCAAGCTGTATACTCTCTAACCCCTATTACACCCATCAATCATACATCAAAATAAAGGGAATTAAAGGTTCTTTGAACAATACCTAAGATATACAAAGTCTCTTTTAAAACACCAGTAAAACTAGTGAGGAAACCCGGGGAAACTTTTTCTTTAAAATTTTAACCCTATGCTAAATACGAAACTGTAGAGCGCCACCTTAAAAACAAATATAAACATATATGCAATTATTTTTCTTATTTTCATATTATTATGTATGATCTTCTGGGTAAAATGGTACATTAACAATGATTTTATTCATGAAAATAAGCTAATTATGCTTATTTTTGCTCTAGCATACCTACTTTGCTATGAGGCATGTTTGGGTGAGTAGTGACCTTCATTATGGGGAAATTAGAAGTATTAGAATATAGAAATAAAGTCAACTTAAATTGAAAAATGTTGCAATAAATAACAGAAATACATAGTGAAAATGTTTCATTTCATTTATTTGCAATGAAATTAAAAAATAAATGATAACAAAGCAAATCTGCTTTCTTCCATATCAAAAAATTAGTTAATATTTTACCCTTTGACCTTTGACCTTTATGAACCTCACCTGTAATATCCCTTTTATAACTGTAAAATTTATTGTTGACATTTTAGGAATAAATATGGTTAGTTTCATGTTCCTGTCTATCAGCATAACACTGGTTGCTATGTTGACAAAATGCAATGCACATTTTTAAAATTGTTCACCTTTTATCATAAGGAGGGGGCTGTACCGGTTTAAGACTCTGATTCTAATAAATGCTGTTCTGAGGGGGAAAATATAGGACAATTATTACAAAGGACTGTTTTGATGCTTGCAACTTAAATATTTCAGCCATACAATCAAAACTAAATCATACAATAATAATTTCTATATACTCTTTATGGTGGCGCTCACCAGTTATTATGTACTTTTGAGAGTGATGTATGTAAGGTGAAGGTGTTTGCATTTTAAACATGCACAGTGGAGAGAATGTTGGCATACCTATATATTACTTTCATGTAATGTGGATGAAATTTCTTTGGATATTGTACTTTTGGAAATTTAAAATGAGCTTAGGACACTGCAAACTAAAATGACTGCTCCCTTGTGCTCCAAAAATCAACCAAAATTTGTCTAAAGTACACTATTCTTGGCAGCTATTAAAATATGGAAAATGAATTTTGGCAAACTAGATAATACCAGCTTCTAAAAGTGCAATGACTGAATTACCAAATACGTAAAATGTAAAAAAAGTTATCGGCTCTTTTTTTTACAATTTACCTCTGAAGTTCGAGAAGTGAAAATGAGCAAGTAGAGCTAGCACTTTTTTGAAAGGTGCACATCTGCAGTAAGGTCAAGCTGTATACTCTCTAACCCCTATTACACCCATCAATCATACATCAAAATAAAGGGAATTAAAGGTTCTTTGAACAATACCTAAGATATACAAAGTCTCTTTTAAAACACCAGTATAACTAGTGAGGAAACCCGGGGAAACTCTTTTCCTTTAAAATTTTAACCCTATGCTAAATACGAAACTGTAGAGCGCCACCATCGCTCAAGACTAAAGACAATGATATCTCACCATACTAAGAAAGAAAAGACAATATCAGGTCACACAGTTGTATCTCCTGCACAGCTCCAGTGACAATATCTCAACATACTAAAATAGGGGAGACAATAATGAACCAAATATTTATATCTCTTGCACAGATTAAGACCAGAGACAAAAATTGTCTCACCATACTAATACTGAGAAGGCAGTAATGAACTATACATATATATCTCTTGCACAACTCAAGACTAAGAGACAATTATATCTTGCCATCCTAGTGCTGAGGAGACAATGATGCTCCATAAAGTATAAAGTTGTAAATGTTCCACAGTTCTAGACTCTAGTGACAATTATATCTCACCATACTAGTACAGTGGAGACAGTTACCTACTATACAGTAATATCTTTTGCACAGCTCTAAAAACAATTCTATCTCATCATAATAATACAGGCAAGACAATAATGGTCTGTACAGCTATATCTCTTGCACAGCTCAAAACCAGAGACTATAATATCTCACCATACTAGTACATAGGGTACAATGATGGGCCAAAAAGTTGTTATTCTTCCACACCTCTGTACTCTAGTAACGATGATATCTCGCAATACTGACACAGGGGAGACAATAATGGGCCATACAGTTGTATCTCTATCATAGCTCATAGTGACAACGATATCTCACTAAACTAAAACAAGGGAAACAATAACCTAAGTTACAAGATTATTCTTTGCACAGCTCAAGACTTTAGTGATATGGTATCTCACTATACTAATACAGGGGAGACAATAACCTAGACATATTCTAAATTACATCCTCAAAAAACTAGACATATTCTAAATTATATTCTCCCCTGTCCTTGTCTGCCTTTCATTTAACTAGACATATTCTAGAATAATCCTCCCGTTCTTATCTGCATCTCATTAAACTAGATATACTCTAAATTACATCCTCAATAAACTAGACATATTCTAAAGTACATCTTCAATAAACTAGACATATTCTAAGTTATTTCCTCCCCTGTCCTTGTCTGTCTCTCATTAAACTAAACATTCAAAATTATCTCAATAAACTAAAACAAAGGAGACAATAACCTATGTTACAAGGGTAATCTTTGCACAGCTCAAGACTTTAGTGATAATGTTCTCACTATACTAATTCAGGGGAGACAATAACCTACTATACAGTAGTATTCTTTGCTCAGATCATGATTTAAGTGATTACTATATCTTGCCATCTTAATAAAGCTAAAACAATAGCCAATATATCAATATTCTTTACACAGCTCACTACTGTAGCATTTAAAGATAATAAATGTTAATGAGCAATTACCAGACCTTCTGGACACAGAGGAATACCACAGATAAGCCACTACACAAAATATGTTTATTTTCTAAGGTTTTACTTCTTTATTCCCATAATACACATACATTAATTTCTCACTTTTGATATGTTTGAACTGGAATATGATAAAAGGTAACAGAATATCCAAATGTATGAAACATTGCACATTAAAGTTTAATATTTATTTTTAATAGTGACTAGAATAAAAGATATACTAAAGAAAATGTTGAGTGTAAGCAAAATATTTTTGATATAAAATGGCAACATAAAAAGCAGATGTTATATATATATTAAACCTAACACAATAAAAGCAAGCTAATGTATAGCAAATTGGCACCATGACAGTAGCTGTGGCAAACAATATAAAAACATTTTCTAAGCCTAATGAAACCCGTCTTAATTATAAATATTGCTTTGGCTTTCATTTAATCATAAATATGATCTGAGCTTTCATTTATGTATGAATATGGCCTAGACTTTAAGTTAATCATAACTATGGCCTGACTTTCATTTACTTCTTAATACAACCAAGACTTTAATTTAATTTTAAATGTGGCCTAGGCTTCAATTTATTCATAAATATGATCAGGGCTTCCATCTAATTATAAATATGGCATATACTTTAGGTTAATCATAAATA